GAATCTCCGAAGCAGCGCTCTGCGCCGAAATCCACGCCGAGCAGCAAGACATGGACCTGCAAGAAGAACGACACAAAAAGGAGACATCAGCACCGGAATTCGCGTTCCACACTCAGCGACGCTACAACAACAACAACAACCGGCAGCAACAACCGAAGCTAGTACCTCCGTTCTGCCACATCTGCAAAACTTCAGGACACCCGCGTACGCACTGCCCAAATCGTCAACAGTCAACAACTCCACAGCAGCAACTTCGACCTTCAAGCAGCCAAATCGCCTCAACGCAAGCAAATCCCACGACCCAGATTCAAGCCTCAACGACTTCAACGGGACAACCTGCACAAGGAGCAAGAAACATCGTCAGCTGCATGGCAAAGCTGAGTGACTCCTGCATCACCGAGTCACCACCACACTACTCACCGGAAGAACAACTCGACGAAACCACACCCCGCCGCGAGTCACTTCAGCCGAACCCGACATACGCCGCCATCGCCCAAAGCGAACCATCCGGAAAAGACACATGGTTCTTGGACAATTGCTGCGGACAGCACATGTGCTCCTCGGGACGCTTCGTTCAACGAGAACACCAACTTCAACGCGAAGTTGTCATTACAGTCGCCAACAATCAGAACCTGCGAACACGACGACAAGGCGTAGTTCAACTTCAGTCAAGGGAAACAAACGTTATACTGCAGATGTCAAAAGTACTAATCGCAGAGGGACTCGGCTACAACTTACTGAGCGTCAGTCAGCTAATGGCGAAAGGGATTCACCTCGAAGCAGACAGCACCACCCAAGAATTCAAGCTGTATCATGGGAGAGGAGGACTTTACATCGGCAAGGCAGTCCTCAAGAACAACGTCTTCGTTCTTGATTTCGTTCCTGATCTTGGCACCGCCGACAGCGACGCCATCGTTAACTTCACCAACTGGACACACCCTCCAGACCTTGATCCAGACTTCAGTCCAGAAGGCTTCTGGTACTCACACACCATCCCTGAAGCAGAAAGAACAAGGGCGTTAGCAACAATTCAGACAACATCAACAGCAGCAGAGACAACATCGGCAGCAGCAGAGACAACATCGGCAGCAGCAGAGACAACATCGGCAGCAGCAGAGACAACATCGGCAGCAGCAGAGACAACATCGGCAGTAGTAGAGACAACATCGGCAGTAGCAGAACCATTAACGGCAACAGCAGGAACGTCAACACCAATTGCTGGTCCTTCAACGACACCGCTCCTCATCGACGACACACCACCGACACCCGCGCAACAACTACACCCAGCACCACAAGAAGTTCATCGTAGCGCCAACTTCTACTCCAACTCCGATATGTACCGACGATCACCCGGACATCGCGCCGACGAAAGCACCTGGCACGCAAGGATGGGACACCCAAGCAACACAGTATTAAACAATACGATAAGAGCAGGAGTACTCGACAAGGACTCACTCCTACTCACCGACGGACGAGAACTTCAACGAGTACGCGGAACGTGCTTCACCTGCCCTGAAGGTGACTTACCACATCGACCGTTTGCGTCTCATCACAACCCGAGCGCACCCGCGTACGCACCACTCGAGAAGGTGTATAGCGACATCCTGTACAATCAGGAACCAGGACAAGTAATATACAACTATACAATCACCTTCATCGACGCCGCCACCCGTTACGTCTGGCACCTAAACCTCCCTAGCCGCGACATGGCATTCGCAGCCTTCGTTGCCTGGCTACCAGTAGCAGAGAGAGAATCGGGCGTGAAACTGAAAAGCTTCCAGTCAGACGGAGGAGGAGAATACACCTCTCAGCGATTCAAGCAGTACCTGGCGGAAAGGGGAATCAAGCGGCTCATCTCCCTTCCCTACGCCCATCAGCAGCAAGGTGTAGCAGAAAGAATGAACAGGACCTTGCAGAACAGCATGCGCAAACTGTTACGTGGCATGCGGCTACCCAACCACCAGTGGCCTGCGGCAATGGACCACGCCGTCATGCTGCACAACTTGCTCTCGTCATCATCGCTTCCAAACAACGCATCACCGCATCTGCTATGGACAGGAAAACAGGGCAGCACAAAAATGTTACGAAAATTCGGATGCATGGTACAGTACCGACCCCCAGCAGCACGAGCGGGCCGATTTTCTCAACGAGCACAGTGGGGACTACACCTGGGAATCGAAAAGAACTACAACGCGTGGAAAATCTTCGACGTCCATTCCAAGGAAACAGTAGCAGCACGTGATGTAATTTTCTACGAACGACTCACGCTCCAGACATACCTTGCCAACCTGCAAGAAGACCAGGATCCCACAGGTGGTTTTCGCGGTGACCGAGCCTTCGCCTCAGCAACGGACGAAGCTGACTGGGACGAGCAGAATGTGGACAACGCATCAGAAGAAGCCGGACCTCTTCCGTTCTGCTCCGTGGACGTTCCCATGGACGAAGATAACCCTCGCGAAAGTGTCAACGCCGAAACCTTCTACTATTTCGCCGACAACGGTTACGTAACACCTGCGACAGTCAACACCAACGAAGCAGAACGAGTAGGACCCAACTTCATACCTGATCCAGAAGCGGGAGATGAAGCAGCTTATCCCGAGGACGCAAATCTTCCCCGCTACTCACAGAGTGGACTGCAAATTCTCGGACTCGTCACCGCAGTCCACGGCACCGCCATTCCTAAAGAGCCTGCGACGGTTCAACAGGCTCTGGGGGGGGAGCATAAGGAAAAATGGCGCGAAGCCATGGACAAGGAGCTGAAGGCACTGGAGGAACGCAACACGTGGAAAGTGGTTCCTATCGGCGTGGCACGGAACAAGACAGTGCTCACCGGGAAGTGGGTCTTCCGTGTGAAGACAAAGGCTGACGGCACCATTGACAAATTTAAGGCTCGCTGGGTTGTACGCGGCTTCGACCAAGAACACGGACGCGACTTCACCGAAACTTTCGCTCCGGTTAGCCGCCACACCTCACTACGCATTCTCCTCGCAATCGCCGCCATGAAGAAGAAGAAGCTGCGACAAATTGACGTCGCAAACGCGTTTCTCTACGCACCTGTTGATGCAGAAATTTTCGTCGAGCTACCGCACGGCTCCCACAGAGAACCCAACCAAGTCTGCCAGCTACTCAAGTCACTCTACGGCATCAAACAGGCTCCGCGACTGTGGCAACAGTACCTGCACACTCGCCTCATCCGCATCGGCTTCAAGCAACTACCGCACGATCAAGGCATGTACCGGCTCACAAAAAACGACGACTACATCCTACTAATCGTCTACGTGGACGATCTCCTTTACATCGGCTCGAATGACGGCATCACTACCTGGTTCGAAGGGGAGCTGCAGCGAGATCTCACGCTCACAGTTTCATCTACCGTCACTCAGTACCTCGGCGTCAACATCTGGGAAGAGGAGGACGCGATCTACCTCAGCGTCGAGAAATATGCCGACACCATCGCCAAACGCTTTACGCTCACTCCGACAGCCATCTCCACGCCATACCGCTACACGGCAGGGAACGACAAAGGAAGCTCCGCTCTACTCAAGCCCGCCGGCATACGAGACTACCAGAAGAAGCTGGGATGTCTTCTCTTAGCAGCCGTCACCTGTCGCCCCGACCTCTCATACTCCACAAGCCAGCTCGCCACCTACCTCAAGAAGCCTGAAGCAGAACATCTGGCGGAGCTCGACCGCGCTCTTCACTACTTCGTCAGCACCCCAACGATCGGCCTAACTTACTACAAGAACGCAACCACACCGACTAAGTTAATCGGCTACGTCGACGCTGATCACGCTGGCGACTCCGACAATAGGCGCTCCCGCACCGGCTACATCTACCGCCTCGAACCTATCGGACCTATCTCTTGGCAGTCGAGCAAGCAGGAATTAATTGCCCTCTCGTCAGCTGAAGCAGAATATATTGCACTCTGCTCAGCCACCAAGGAAGGACTCTATCTTCGCGAGCTGCTGGAAGAATCGAAGTTAGCCGAGTTACCCAACTTTACCCTGTTCTGCGACAACCAGTCAGCAATTCGCATCGCCAACAAGAACGGCTTCGCAAACAGGACGAAACACATCGCCCTGCGATATTTCTTTGTGAAGGATGAGATCGAGAAGGGAAGGCTCGAGCTGTCATACTGTCCCACATCTGAGATGGCAGCTGACTACCTGACCAAGAAGCTCGGAAAGCAGAAGTTCGAATACTGCATGTTGCTGACTGGACAGAGCCACGTCAGCGACACTCTAGAAGCGAAGGGGAGTGTTGGAAACAACTGATTTAGGCGCCTCTGTCGTGTCGAAACACCAAGACAGAAGCGAAGTAGCTCGTATCGAAATATCGGTGAGTCAACCCTCGGAGGTTGAATAACTGTTGGAGGTTACGCGAAAGTCAAAGGTCAGCGACCTTTGACCTGACAAATGCAGCGCGACAGCAAGGACAACCAACTGTCTCGATACTGAGCAGTTGCCCGAGTCGACACTGTATCGAACCGCAACAGCAACAGTAAAACAGTTAACTGTATCTCTTCATATTCCTTCGTATTCTTATAAAAGCTTGTATCTCTTTTATTATCATCAACTTACTTTGCCCTCACATACTAGTGCAAGGTGGTTCACAACTCTTTAATTAACGCTTCCGCTACTACACCAACTCTACCCAGAGTTCACCCCTGCAAAGATCCTAAAGGGTTTTTCAGCCTAACACAAACGAGCCCTCATGGAGCAGATTTCCCACGAAAAGGCGAGTTACAACAAATGGTTTGAAGAATGCTTTGAACTCAGGCCCTCAGATTGGTTTCAGGGCACACTGATCAATCAGTGCTGCACCAAAAAAAAAAAGAATTTACACTGATCAATCAGTGCTTGCTACCTGAAACATTCATCCTGATTTACTTTGCCTCTTGCAGCCCCAAACCCCACTCCATAGGTGTCCCTTGCAGCCCAAATCCCCCAATCCACCCCTCCTCTCTCAAACAATTCCCGCTTTCCTCTAGCGTGCAGTAGCTAGGCAAAGAACTTGACCCCTTCGTCGTCGGAGGAGGAGCCCTTGAAGAGCGTGGCAAGGCCCCTCCCCTCCAGCACTCTGACGGCCCTCCGCAACACGTCCTCGTCAATGCCCTCCAGGTCTGGTGCTCACCACAAATGCACACATACACACACACACACAGACATGCACACACATGCACACACACACACATGCATACCCACACACACACACACACACACACACAACGCAGAAAACACACACGCACACATGCACGCATCCACACACAGATTCACGCTCACATGCACATATACACACACGCACACATGCACATATGCACACATGCACACATGCACACATGCACACATGCACACATGCACATATGCACACATGCACACATGCACACACGCACACATGCACACATGCAGACAGGGACATATGGACACACGCACACATGCACACATGCAGATAGGCACACATGCACACACGCACACATGCACACACGGACTCACGATCACATGCACACACGCACAGATGCAAATGTGCACACACGCACACATGCACAAATGCACTCATGCAGACAGACACACATGCACACACGCACACATGCACTCATGCAGACAGACACACATGCACACACGCACACATGCACACAGAAAGACATGCACACATGCACACACAGACAGACATGCACATAGACACACCACACACACACACACACAACAAACACACACACACACACACAACAAACACACACACACACACACACACAACAAACACACACACACACAACAAACACACACACACACACACACACACACACAACAAACACACACACACACACACACACACACTCCGCACCTCACACATGGACAGACCCGCACACACGCACACACTATTACTGAACAGCATGCAGTAACCCTCCTCTCAATGCACACAGAAGCAACAATGGGTAAGGAGAGTCAAGAGGAGAAACATCTGGAACCAGAGCAGCGCGCATTTCACTACAGGTCATGCCTTCGCCCTTGTTGCTCTCAAGAACCATTCAGGCCGCACACATGCCGCATGCGATGAGGAGAGGCCAGATGGATGGGGAGAGCACACTTGCGTACGCACCGGTCCCTTTCGTATCATCTCCTGCTCGTACCTGTCCCTTTCGTATCATCTCCTGCTCGTATCTCCTCCAGTGTCAAAACAGAATCACCAAATCCGTTCTCACGCACCTGTGGGCCACGATAGGAAGACAAGTGAGGAAGAAGCGCACAGGCAATAATGAGCTAGACGCCCACGAAACAGTACATAGTGCCTGGATTGTGTACCTGCCCTTCAGGGCTGCTTTGAGCAAATCTCCGCACGATGGGCCCAACCTCAGCGCCCCCAGGTTTGCTGCTCTCCCACTATAAGCTTGGTTGCATCACGCCCCAAGCGTGCCCACCTACACAGAACTTGGATCCCCCCCACCACCACCCCGCCACCTCGTGATTGTGTGCCCCAACTTCTTCCACCCAGTAGCTTACCCACGGAACACTCCCCCCCCCCACTCCTTCCCCATCCCCTGGGCGCACAGGTGCCCCATCCGCCACTCCAGCCCTGCCCTTGCCTATGCTGCTCGCAACATAACATAGTAGTGACCAACATGCATTTTCTTTCAGATTAAGGAATTGCTCTCGCCAATATACATGTAATGGTTGACACCATTCTTTGCCCATAGAACATCCATGCGTTTCACATGCCCAAAGCTTCAGCCCGTGTGTACCCTGAGGATAAACTTCCACGCTCTCAAATCTCAACCCAACCATCTTGACACTAACCTGTCACCAGCTTTATAGCTTCTCTCTGACGCGATAATTGAACAGCTGTGATCCTTCCTAGCTGCACACGAGGCTTGTTATGAGGAACTCGCTGCAACCCCCTTCTGTTAGGATCCTTCCTCCTCTTCCTTCAAAACACCTGGTGGTGAGTGCCCCAGGAGTGAGCCACCGTGACCCCATGCCCCCCTCTACGCGGCGGACATCTTCTCGCTTCATCACCACCACGTCCGCTGCCCCCCGCCACCGGTGCCGCTTGCCACTCTCGCTTTCCGCAGCTGCCTGAATGCCTTCACTCAAGCCTCGTACCTCCCCAGGCCCTGCGGGTGAATCTTTACTTCCATCAGTATCCACCTCAACCCATCTTTTTTGCGCCCAAAGCGTCCGTTTGAGTCGACTCAAATTCATCCCACTCGGCCTCACAGGAGCCCAGTCAGTTCTGCCCTCTTCTACTAAAAGCTGGCGTCAGCCACCGCTCCCATTCTGTTGCTGTCAATCCCAACCACTGCACCCCACGCCCACAGTGCACCACCATGGCCCCTCTCGTAACGCTGGTGCAGGTTGGGCTTCCTTTCCTGCGGGCATCCTCATCCACCCCGGAGCCGAAAGAACCTTTGCACGCCTCAATTCCGTCCTTGCCCCGCCCAGCTCTTCCCTCTGCTGGCGAATTCCTTTGGTGATCACAAGCATGAGCATGGGTTCGAGCCAGACTGAGGAGGACCGCAGACACGCTGCAAGGCAGCTCCACTCCACGAGACATTGTGTGCGGTCGGCTGAACTGTCCATGACTCGTCAAGCCAGTTCTCTTCACCTTGGGACAAACCGAAAGTGCTTGAAGTCGAGATTGGCTCATGCACATGGTTGAGGACCCGGCCGTTCAAAACACGACACCTGCTCCAATCCAAGAGACCTTCTCCGCCCCCTTGACGTAGCTAAGACCTCGCTGCACCACCCACCTTGTATGCCTTCTCGTCCATCACTGCAACAGGCCTTTGGATCTTTAGTGTATCAATTTGCGTCGTCTTTGTTGACATCACCAATTGTACCGATTCATGCACGAACCACTTGAGAGCGGGAAGGGGAGGTGGGCGTACGAAGTGCAGCAGGGTGTCGGCCCAGTCGTTGATGGACTTCCACAGAATGAGGCACCGCGTTCGACTGCGATCCGTCCACTCCGCCCGCCCTGGCAACCGCGGGGAGGGAGCGGACAGGAGGACATGAAAATTTTCGTTCCATAAGCTTGATAAGGAAATGCCCTAATCCATGACCTCAGCAGGCTGAGGACACTGGGAAACGAGTGGAGGATGGCCAGTGGAGGCGATGCATTGGGTGGAGAAGGGATGGGAGCGATAGTGATGCTGTTCCCTCACGAGATGGGACGGGAGCAGAAGGAATAGTCAATGTGCCTATAAATATGTGCGTTGAGAGCACGTCAGCGCTGGGGCCATGAGAGCGTTGGGATGATCACAAGAGAGGCGGATTGAGCTTGCCTTCTGCAACGAGAGCCTCGAGAAAGACCTGCCGCGCCTCGAACGCCAATTTGCCTGCCATGATTGAATTCAAGCACACACGGGGTGGAACAGGCCGTTGGGACATGAAAACGGACGTGCAAAACGGAGCTGAGTCGGATATGCAAGGAGCAGGAACAGGTGAGAAACAAATGCATGAAGGAAAGGAAGGTGTCGAGAGTGGTGGAGGGGAATAAGAAGGGAGGTCAAGAGCAGGGAGGTCAAGAGCAGGGAGGTCAAAGCAGGGAGGTCACGAGCAGGGAGGTCAAGAGCAGGGGGATCAAGAGCAGGGAGATCAAGAGCAGGGAGGTCAAGAGCAGGGAGGTCAAGAGCAGGGAGGTCTCAACCCCATTTTTTCCTTCCCCCATCAGCTTGGATTACCAACTTCCCCACGCGTCCCCAGCTAGACACGTCCTGCCAACACCCACTCTCCACCTGTCAACACCCACCCACCCCTCGCGTTCCTCTTTCAGTCTTACGTACGGTGTTATAACACACCTTGTAATCGATATGGCAACCTATTGAAGAGTGTATAAGGGAAGAGTAACGAGATATCTGCGTGTGAAGGTCCTACCCATGCACCCATTAAACATCCACAAGCAAAGAGCCATCCCCATGCCCCATGTCACCCCCACCTCGACACCCCTTTCCCCCATTCACCCCTTGTCTCCGTCCCCCCCTCATCAACCCTCCTCCCCGACCCCTCCCTCTGCTTCTCCCTCTCAATACCCCTGAGCACATGTGCGTAGTGCCCTGCCTCCCCCCCTCCCTCCCCCCCCAAGCCCTCACGCTGGATGGCGGGGTGGTGGAAGAGGGGGAAGTGGTCGAGGGGCACGAGCAGCGTGCGGTGGTGGCGGCACCACGCCACGATCAGCTCCGCCCACAGCCGCACCTGCCTCTCGCGCGTCGCCTTGATCGGCTGCAGCCTGCCGTCCCGTGGGATGCACGGCCGTGATGATTGTTCCGCGGGGGGGGGAGGAGGAGAGAGGAGGGGAGAGGGGGGGAAGAAGGGGATGGTAGGGAGGGGGAAAGGCGTGCCAAAGCAGAGGGGTGAAGGTGTATGGCAGGGAGGTGGAAACAGTTGAAGCGGTTGATGGTGAAGGGGCAAAACGGAGCAAGAGGCAAGGTGGTGTTAGGCAGGAATAAGAGGTGCAGCAAGGTGAAACAAGGTGCAGCAAGGTGCGGCAAGGTGACACACGTGAAGTAGGGAGGGTAGTCGTAGAAGTGTGGCAGGGAGAAGGCCGTGCCGCTCACTGGCGCTGCTGCTGCGCCTCCCTCCATTGCACCACGCGATACTGTGGGAGGAGGGGTAGTACAGTGATGGGAGGGGCGATGATGATGTGGCTGGTGCCGGCACGATGGGAGAGGAAGGGAAGGGGAGGTTGGCAGGAAGGTTGTTTCAGCATGGGACAAGGGTTGGTGGAGCGGATGGGGAGGGGGGTAGAGTACGGGCGTGGTACTTGGCGCGGCGGTAGCTGCCCATCTTCGAACAGTTTCGATCGTCATTCCTTAATACAAGGAGTCTTGTTATTTGTAATAGACTGCAAAGGCGTGTATAAGCATGTCTTGAATCAGGTGTGCTGACCTTAAAGGATTCAAACAGAAACATTGGAATGGGTGCCAAAAGGGGCGATCCCCTAAACACTCTCCCTATCTTTCTCGCGCTCACTGTTACTCTAAATGTCTTACACACTATTAATCTCACACTCCACTCCTTCTCACACATTCTCACGCTATCTCCTCGTACTCTTTCCCTCACACTATGACTGACCTCGTACCCTCTTCCTCTCATCCACCCACACTCCCTCTCCCTCATCCACATTCCCACCCTCTCACGTTCTCCTGCTCACACTCACACTCCCAGCCACGCCACCCACCTTGGAGGGCTTCCAGGTGTAGAAGGCGATGGAGGCGAGGAGCTCGTGTTGGAATCTGCACTGCCGTTTGGGGAGTCGAGGGGGCGGGGTGGGAAACAGAACCGACGAATCAGAGCGAAATTTGAAATGCGGGGGAGGGGGGAAGAGGCGGTTGGGAGGAGAGGGGGAAGGGTTGGGAGAAGCCTGCACCACCAGCGCTGGGGCGCTTCACTCATGTTCCCCGTCCTCAAGGAAGGGCGACCAAGCAACGTCGGTTGAGGGGGGGATGACCGATGCGGGGGAAGATGATGGGTATCTGTTCTGATGATGGTGCTGTTTAGGAGAGGCGACGCGGGGGAAAGAGGAGAGGCGACGCGGGGAAAAGTATGACAGGCAACGCGGGGGAAAGAGGAGAGGCGACGCGGGGGAAAGAGGAGAGGCGACGCGGGGGAGAGAGGAGACGCGACGCGGGGGAAAGAGGAGTCACGACCGAGGGGAGAGAGGAGAGGCGACGGCGTGGGGAAGAGGACGCGAGGCGATGGCGGATGGGAAAGGAGAGTCGGCGGCGGGGAGTAGACACGAGGGGAGGTAGAGGGCGTGCGAAGTCGGGGGAGTGGGGAGGCGGCAGTGAGTGAGGCGGCAGTGAGTGAGGCGGCAGTGAGTGAGGCGGCAGAGCGTCAGAAAGTTGGAGCGCGTGGTCAGGGATCGCGGCGTTGGAAACATGCCCCTACCGCGCCGGGCGCGCCTGGCGTCAGCAAACGCGGCCTAGGCGTCCCGCCCAAGGCAGCGCCAAAGCCCGAGCGCCGGGAGAATTGCAGAGCGCAGGAGAAGTATAGTACCTTGCACAGGGGGTGTCACATGATAATCAGGACGTGTCGCAACTACATGATCATACTTGCCGCGTAAAGTATTCACAATTTCACGAAGTATTTCCTCGCTTCAGATTTCTCTGCTTTCCAAATTCAGTCTTAGGCTAACAAGCTAACAGGGAACCCCTTAATATGATTCTGAACTTTTATGTATTATATTATTGTGAGCACATATATTACACTATATATATGAACATTGCTGAGTATACCACGTGGAAAATCCTGCCGTGATACCCTTCAGTAATTGACGGGTGTTACAACTAACAAAGACCATGATTTGTTTGGGAAATGATGTGCCCGGGCCCTCAGATATGTTACAATCCCAACTGGGACTTAGCAAAGGATCATACCAGGGTTGATCGCAGGTAGTGTTGCAGCGGAAGTATTGACCTCAGGTCAGAGTGAATGTAAATAACTGAGATTGATAATAGCATGCATACATCGAGTTTATATAGGAAATACAAAGGAATGCGAAACGACCTAGATTAGCCATGTACTCTAAGGGGTACATTCCCTTATTACAACAAATTCAAACCGTGCGGCACGGGAACCCGTTTCAAACCTGTTCCCGCTCTTTTCACTTCAAATGTTTCTGCCTGCATCAGTCTTCATCTGACGGTTGCTGATGTCGCTTCGACTCTTCTGACTCCTCGACTTCGTACTCGGTAGAGTCAGCTCCTACAGCATACAGAAATGCCTTCTCATTGATTTCCATATCGTAACACTCCCCTTCATTCCTCGGCGCACAGAGAGCTGACTCTCTCGACTACTCCCGTAAGGTCGGAGCAATGCTTGTATTGCTGACGTGGCAGTCGCTTGGTCAGGAAGTCGGCTACCATCTCGGTAGTGGGGCAGTACGCAAGGTCAACCTTGCCTTTGTCAATTTCATCCTTGATGAAAAAGTATCGAAGCGCGATGTGCTTCGTGCGGTTTACGAATCCTGGCTTGTTCGCGATTTTGATGGCGCTCTGGTTGTCGCAATGAAGACGAAAGGTGGGCGAAGATGGAATTTTCGCTTCGTGCAGTAGTTCCTTCAGGTACAGACCTTCGCGAACTGCTGCTGTCGCGGCGATGTAGTCTGCTTCGGCCGACGGTGGGGCAACCAGCTCCTGCTTCTGTGAGTTCCAGGAGATTGGTCCTATTGGTTCCAGGCGAAAAACGAAGCCGGTTCGTGACCGTGGATTCGCAGGATCAGCGGCATGATCTACGTCCACGTAGCTGTTGAGGTTGAATGAGGTTGTCGTCAGCGTGGAGTAGGAGATCCCGATGTCAGGTGTGGAGATGAAGTACTGCAGGGCACGCTCCAAGTCCAGCTGGTTCTCGGCTACTGGCTTGCGGGAGTGCTGTGCCAGTTGGCTGGCGATGTACGAAAGGTCGGGTCGGCAGGTGACAGAAGCAAACAACATGCACCCCAGTTTCTACTGGTACAGTTGGAGCCCTGCGGGTGTCAGAGGTTTGTTGTCCGGTTTGTAGTTGGTGCTGGGGTTGCGGTAGGGAGTTGAGAGTGGTGCGGGCGAAATGTTGAAGCGTTCCCCCAGCTGCTCTGCGTACTTGGAAGCTGAAAGATGGATTGCTTCTGGCGCGTAGGTGATGTTCAGTCCCAGAAACTGTGTGACATTGTGGTTGATGGTGATATCAATGCGCTGCGCGAGGTTCTCCTCGAACTGATGAAGGAGTTTGTTGCAGGTGCCGGTGTATAGCAGGTCGTCGACGTAGACGGCCAGAAGGATGTAATTGTCAGAATATTATAGTGCTTACATTTGTGTAGGCTATAGTGGGGTAGCCCATAAGGGGTACAACCCAAGTAGGGTTAGTACTTGTACCCAACTCTTCCATAGTTTATTCATTCTCGTTCGTTAGTTTGACAGTAATTGCTGCTGAAATGAAGGCGGTACATTCCCGGGTCGTGTGGCAGCTGCCTGAAACCGATCTCCAAAAGAATTTTAACTCACATACCATGGGGTCTCCTTCCCCGTAGGTGTGTGGCTGCTCCACGAAGATGATCGCATCCACCAAAGCATATAGGAACGCGTTCTTAACGTCGATCTACCGCAGTGGAAGATGTTTAGCGGTAGCGATGGCGAGCAGGATCCTGACAGAGGTGTGGCGACTGACAGGAGCAAAGGTTTGGTCGAAATCAATGCCGTGGCGCTGGTCATAGCCGCGTACGACCCAGCGTGCTTTAAAGCGTTCGATCGTTCCATCAGCGTTGGTTTTCAGGCGAAAAAACCACTTTCCGTTGAGTGCCCTTCTCCCTTTCACTGCTGCACGATCGACTAGGACCCATGTGTCACATGATTCCAACGCTTCCAGCTCCGAGTCCATAGCTGCACGCCACTCCTTTGCATGGGGGCCGGTTAGGGCCTGGCGCGGATTCTTGGGCTCGACGGCGCGCGTGAGAGTGGTGACGGATGTGTGTAGGCCAAGAAGCTGCAGTCCTGTGACATTGGAGGCCCCTTTGGCTTCTTGTGTCGTGACTTCCACCACGTCGTCATCGTCACTCTTGTGAGCGGGTGAGGCGCTGCTTGGCGGAACATGGCAGCGAGACGGTCTTGGAGTGTCGTCGCTGTCATCGTCGTCATCATCGTCGCGCGGACGAGGCGGAACGTTGGGATGTTCGTCGGCGGGGTCGCGGTCGAGTGCTGCTGCTGCTGCCTCGTCTTCCGGAGATGCAAAGCTGCGGCCGTTGTTGGCGTAGGCGCATGCGATGTTGCTGCGCTGGTCCTCGATCCACTACTGCAAGGTGAGTTGCTCGTAGAAGAAAATGTCGCGCGCGAGTACGATCTTGTTGGTGTCGATGTCTAGAACCAGCCAGCCCCTGTACTCATGGCTGAGTCCTACGTGGACTCCCCAGTGTGCGCGGTGAGTGAACTTGCCGATGGTGGCCGAATTCGGCCGGCACTGCACCACACACCCTCAAACCTTCAGCATGGAGGTATCTCCCCTTGAGCCGGTCCACTTCATGTGCGGGGAGAGGTTGCCCCTGTTGGCCGTGGTAGAGAGGAGGTTGTGCAAGCGTACGGCATGGTTCATGGCATACGGCCAATACTTTTTGGGTAGGCTGGACTGGTTCATGAGGGCGTGCACTTTTGTCATGAGGGTGCGGTTGACCCTCTCTGCGACGCCTTGCTGCTGGTGAGCGTAGGGGAGTGAGATCTTGTGCTGGATCCCCTTTTCCGCGAGAAGCCCTTCCAGCTCGTGACTGCGAAATTCTTTGGCGCAGTCGGTCTGCCATATTTTCAGTTTCTTGCCTGATTCTCGTTGTGCGTGTGCGAGCCAGATGCGAAATATTTCAGGAGCCTTGGAGCTGACATCGACGTTGGCGATCCAGATGTAGCGTGAGTACGCATCCACGAAGGTGAGTGTGTTTTTTTCGCCGTTGATGCCCTCGAAGGTGAGTACGATGTAATCGTTGTAGACTTTCTGCAGCTCCTTGTAGTGGTTGGTTCTTGGCTTCAGTGAGGGGTAAGCTTGGTGTGTGACGGCAGCAGTGGGGTAGACGGTGCAAGTGGTGGGATGTGAAGTGCTGAGTGGTTCCGTGCCATCAGGACGCAGTACTGCTCCTGATAGGAAGACTTTGGCACGGAGGCAGTTGTTGAACGTCTGGAGTGAGGGGTGGCCGAGCCGCTGGTGCCAGAGATCAACTTCTGCACGAACTTTAGGAGTGTGCAGATAGCATGCGAGATATTGTGCTGTTTCTGCTTCTGTCTTTTGCGGGATGTCTAGTGTGGGTCCCTCTTCTTCTCCCGGTTCTGCTTCGTTGTCCTGCTCCTTTGCTTCTAGTTCTGCTGCTGCCTCCCGTTCTGCAGGCGCTGTTGTAAGATAGAGCGCGAGAAAGTTGCGGACAGGGATGATATTGAGCGGAGTGCTAGTACCCTCGATGAGGCGGGCGAACGGATCTGGGCAGGAGATTGGTCCAAGTGAGTCGCGAGGTGGAGTTGGTGGCACGTTCCCCTCCTCAATCTCTGACCAGGGGTCTTGAAGCCACCGATAAGGTGAGCGGGGTGGTGTCGTAAGAGTGCGAAGGCGTCGTCCGAGTGGGACAGTGACTCTTGGGGGAGGTCTTTCGACAGCCATCTCCCTCTCTACTTCCTCCCTTTCTTCCTGGGTAAGATCGCCTTCGACGAGTTTCCGTCATTTGGGTTCGCCCCATACGCCAGTTGCCCAGCCTTGAACGGTGCCGGAGGCGCCAGTGGCAGATCCCCATGTTGC